TTCCCCCTTTTTTTCTTTTTTAGTGACACATCTGAAAAAGTGGAAGAGAACAAATATTTTTCATATATTGCAAAGAAACAGCTTAGCATCAACACCAGTTCTTAGTTTAAGCGAAAGTGAAATGAATTCTTGGTGAAAGGCTCTTTCATCATGAAATTGCTAGATTTGAAAAATGTTTGATTAAGCACTTATTCACATTAGATATGAAGTTGGAGTGCAGTAGCTCAGAGATGAATTTCTACAACATATTAATGTACAGAAATTTGTATTTCTAATACTAAGGAGAATGCCTAGTTGCCTAGTTTTGTTTTGGGGATTTTTTTGGTTGTTTGTTTGGTGGCTTTTTTCCCCCCCTCTTCCTTAGATACTCTTGTGTGAAGTACATTACTTTCACAAACTGAAGAGGTGTTTGCTATAGGTAGTAATTATATTACTGCGCTGAATCACTTTCAACTCTTAGAGTGCAGCAGTGAACATGAATTTAATTTTCCAACTCTATTTAGGTGAATATCGATTCATTTAATTCAGATTACTTGATAAAAATCTTTGGCCTATTATGCCACATAAGATACTATTTCCTTTTTTAATCAATTTAGTTTATAAATGACACTAGCTTTATTTTTTTAATAGCCATTTTAATACCTTTTCAGGGTACAGTCCTGCGTTAATGCATTTAGATTGTAATAGCATTTCTAGTGCCATTAATTTCTTATTTTTCTAGCTTGTCCTTAGATGTGCAGATAGAACATAGATTCCTTCAAGCAACCAGTCTGAAGGTTAGAAAGGCAGCTCAGATGGTAGTGATGAATTAGATTATGGAAGGACAATTATTTCTTGTTTGTGTTCTGTAAACAGTTTGTTCTAGGAAGTTTAGAGACTGACTGATATTATGTCTAAAATATTGGTGGCTATCATTAAGATCAAACGAAGGATGTGAAAATCTAAAGTCTGGAGAAGAGGCTGTGTAGTGCATCTCTTTAAAGAGTAGGAGAACAGAAAAAAAATGAGAAGAGAATTTTACACCAATCTTTGCGTTTCTAAAAATAAAAAATAAAAATTAAGCAACAAATAGTCAAAGTAAACTATTTGTAAACAGTGAAAAGGGTATTAAAAAACAGTGTGGAGTTTTTTATTTTGTTCTAGTTGTCTGCTGTGAGAGGAGAAATAGAGAAGTTGCACTTTGACACTGTCTTGTGTGACAAGTTATCAGTAAGTAAAGAAAACACGGTGGAAAATAAAAAAAACTGTTTCCAGAGAATGATTGCCAATGACTCATCACCAGAAGTGAAGGATATTATTTTTTGTCATTCTGCCAGTATCTATTATGAGACATCTCATAATTTTTGTTAATGATCTAAATGATGGAGTAGAGAAGATGCTTATGAAACAGGAAAAGTGCCACAGATTAGAAAAAGAAATGTATTTAAGAGGGATATATTTATAAGTGATCCTGACAAGCTGGAGAATGTATATGGAGAAAATTATGTTCCATTCAATAAAGACAAGATCTGAACTTAGGTAATCAAATACACATGTGGATTGCCTAAATTAATTTTCTGCTAAAAAGTGCCTAAGGAGGTGATAACGGCTCAAAAGCTGACTTGACAGTCATACAATTTTCTGTGTGTGTCTTGTTTTGTTTTTTTGAAGTGTCATGTTAGGGTGTAAGACAGGAGTTTGAAAAGATTTTCCAAGTCACCAGTGGGAAGGTTTCAGCTAGAGTATGGTATCTAAACTGAGCACTGCACATCACAGAAGATCAGGAACAATGAAGAGATGCCGAAAAGAGTGACCAGGAGGTAATCCAAAGTCAGAGGGACGAGCACAAGTTAGATAATGCAACAAGCCACTGGAGGCTATCAAAACCAAGGTAGACTAATGTCTGACAGAGGTGGCACAGTAACATCAAGGTGATCTCTGGTAGGGAGTGTAGCACATAGCTGCTAGCCAGCCATTTGGATTATAAAGCATTTACAGACCTTTCTTCTTCAGGTTGTAATTCAGAACAGTTGAACTGTGGTGATGGGAAGTGTAAGCATCAGTATAAGACCTGTAAAGATGACGACAGCTGTGGGGTGGACAGTGATGAAAACAACTGCTGTAAGTATGTATTTTCAGCTATTTTCCAAAAGATGATGGAAGATAGAAGCAGGAATATGCTTATTGTAATGGATAAATGTAATATTTCTATATATTTTTTCATAACACAAAGTACAAGTTTCATAATAGTGAAAGCAAAACCCACAGAGGATAACTAGTTCTTGGGAGAGTCTAGAAAAGCAATTAATGGCACAAAATCCAAGATAACAGTGATTTTAGTTAGATGACCTAACCACAGCTTGCTGGTGATCTTATTAGAAGAGCACTTTCTCCTCAACTACTGCTAGATCAGTAACAAATGATGTAAGGGAGAGAGACATAATAGCTTTGGGACTTTGGCCCTCTACCACATGCATGGTTTCTTTACTGTAGATCCATCACGGTTATGGACATTACTGGTGCTACGAATGTTTCTCTAGTGACCTGCTGCATTTTGCCTTTATAATTTTTGCCTTGCTTTGAATTTTAGGTCCTTGAGGTAGCCAGGAGTATGTCCTTGTTTGTTAAAAAAAATAAAAAGAAATCCCTTCCACTGTTTAGAGGGCACTGTAAACAACTGATAAGAATAATGATAGTAATGGAAGCCTATTGCTGAAATCTGTCAGGATTCCCACATATTAAATTGTGATAGTCCTTAGCAAAAAACTTACTGGAGGGAGGTATGAAGCTCTTCCACAGTTTTCTCAACTTTCACTTCAAAAAGGTTGACTTCCAGATGATATCTACTGTGAAGGTTTATAATTTGTAATGCCAGTAGTACTAGTGAAAGTAAAACAACAGATTCAACAAGCCTAGTTTGTTCAGTTTAGAGTCAAGTAAAATGGGAGTGAGGACAGTTGGAGGCTCTTGTGGTTTTCTCCTCATGGACAGTGGAGACTGAAATTAGTGTGATCATTAATCAGGGTGGAACATTGCCCCTATCCATTCTCCATAGAGGAATCAGTTTACACCAGGATAGACTTTGACTTCAAGCAGACTGGAATGTGTAGCTTTGAACAACTGTGTACCACTGAGTAGATTCAATGTGCCATTTTTTTTAATAATTTGAAACCACGGCTCCAAACATGTGAAACTATCTTCTCTCTCTTATTTCAGCCTACAAAAGTTGCTCCCCTTATGCATACAAATGCCTCAATGGAAAATGCTTACTGAAACCACATCCTGAGTGTGATGGGAAAAGAGATTGTGCAGATGGATCTGATGAAATGAACTGTGGTGTAGTAACATTTATTTAAAAATTAGTTAATGGCTTGAGAAACTGAGTCAGGAATTTGTGCTGTGGTCAAGCATTACTGGATTAAGAACTGATTAAATCTGATGTGAATTGAAAAAAAAATTAATCTCCTGGTAACGTCTTTATGAAAATGTCTGTCTTGAATTTTTCATTTTAAATGACTGATCCCTTAAGACTGTTTCATTTTAAATCCACTGATCCCTTTTGTCTATGATGCCTTATTTCAAGCAATGCACACTTTCAGTATAAGCTGGTAGGTCTTAGTGCTTGTTTGAGCTGAATGAAATACAGTCAAGGAGCTGTGTATGTAAGGAGGGAAAAGACATGAGATTTTATTCAAGTGAACTTTTAGAACCAATCCACCTTAGAATTGTGCTTAAATGTCTTTTTGAGTTACTAATCTCTTTAGAAAGCTATAAGGGAGGATGGGTAACAATTGGTTTATTCCTGACCTGCCCATTGAGTGAAAATGGGCAAGTAACCTTACCTTTTTACTGATTCCACAGAAAGAAAATTCTTTCTTTTCCAACAGCTTTGAGGTCTGTGGGTAAAAATGTATGTATTAAGCATAGCAAAGTAAAATGACCTTGAGGTTTTTGTTATTATTTTATTCAATTATTTCTATTAGCTTGTGGAAGACACCAGCTTAAGAAAAACAGAATTGTTGGAGGTGAAGATGCAAGATCTGGAAAGTGGCCTTGGCAAGCAAGTTTACAGATGGGAGCACATGGCCATATATGTGGCGCATCTGTTATTTCCAATAGGTGGCTCATATCTGCTGCCCATTGCTTCTTGGATTCTGATTCTGAGAGGTAGGAATAAATTATGCTGTCATAGAGTATTTGTGGCTTAAAAACCTTACCATGTTGCTTTCAAAAGCTTGCAGTAGCTATTCCTTGTCTAGATAAGTTGATTCAGCGTCTAACTCTGTGATATGATATCACTACATGAACCTTCAATATTGTATTCAAAAGCCCTAAGTGTCTGAAATATTTTACCTCCATTGCCAGTGAATCCTGCATGACAAAACACACCAATTTGCTAGATTTTTAGATCAAACACAAAAAGAAAGCCTACAGAGAGTGCAAGCAAGGACAGGTAGCCTGGGAGGAATACAGAGTAACTGTCTCAGCAACCAGGGATCAGCTTAGGAAAGCTAAAGTCCTGATAAAATTAAATCTGGCCAGAGACATCAAGCACAACAAGAAAAACTGATAGGTATATCAGTGATAAAAGGAGGACTGGGGAAAATGTGGACCTTCTCCAAAAGGAAACGGGAGACCTGGTTACCCAGGACATGGAGAAGACTGAGGTACTCCATGACTTTTTTGCCTCAGTCTTCACTGGCATGAGCTCTAGATGCACTGTCCAAGTCCCAGAAGGCAAAGGCAGGGACTGGGAAAATGAAGAACCACCCACTGTAGGAGAAGATCAGGTTCAAGAACATCTAAAGAACCTGAAGGTGCACAAGTCCATGGGAGCTGATGATGTGCATTCACGAGTCCTGAGGGAACTGGCAGATGAAGTTGCTAAGCCAATATCCGTCACATTTGTGAAGACATGGAAGTCCAGTGAAGCTTCCACTGACTGGAAAAGGGGAAACTTAACCCCTATTTTTAAACAGGGAAAAAAGGAAGACCTGAGAACTACGGATCAGTCAGTCTCACCTACGTGCCTGGCAAGATCATGAAGCAGATGCTTCTGTAAACTACATTAAGGCATATAGAAAAAAAGGAGGTGATTGGTGACAGGCAACACAGCTTCTCTAAGTGCAAATTGTGCCTGACAAATTTGGTGGCCTTCTATGGTGAGGTTGCAGTGTTGGTGGATAAGAGAAGAGTGACTGACATCATCTGCCTGGACTTGTGGAAAGCATTTGACACTGTCCCACAAGACATCCTTGTCTCTAAATTGGAGAGACATGGATTTGAAGGATGGACCGCTCGGTGGATAAGGAATTGGCTGGATAGTCACACTCAGAGTTGTGGTCAACAGCTTGATGTCCAAGTGGAGACCAGTGATGAGTGGTGTTCCTCAGGGATTGATATTGGGGCCGGTGCTGTTTAACATCTTTGTCAGCAACATGGACAGTGGGATCGAGTGCATATTCAGCAAGTTTGTTGACAACACCAAGCTGCATGATGTGAGTGATACGCTGGAGGGAAAGGATGCCATCCAGAGGGACCTTGACAGGCTGGAGAGGTGGGCTCGTGCGAACCTCATGAAGTTTAACAAGGCCAAGCACAAGGTTCTGCACATGGGTCAGGGCAATCCCAGACGCAAGCTGGGCAGAGAATGGATTGAGAGCAGCCCTGAGGAAAAGGACTTGGGGGTGTTGATTGATGAGAAGCTCAACATGAGCTGGCAATGTGCGCTTGCAGCCCAGAAAGGAAATTGTATCCTGGGCTGCATCAAAAGAAGTGTGGCCAGCAGGTTGAGGGAAGTGATTCCGCCCCTCTACTCTGCTCTTGTGAGACCTCATCTGGAGTGCTGCGTTCAGCTCTGGGGTCATCAACACAAGAAGGACACGGACCTGTTGCAGTGCATCCAGAGGAGGTCCATGAAGATGATCCGAGGGCTGGAGCACCTCTGCTATGAAGACAGGCTGAGAGAGTTGGGGTTGTTCAGACTGGAGCTGAGAAGACTCCGGGGAGACCTTCTAGCAGCCTTCCAGTACTTTAAAGGGGGCCTACAAGAAAGCTGGAGAGGGACTTTTTACAAGGACATGTAGTGATAGGACAAGGGGTAACGGCTTTAAACTGAAAGAGGGGAGATGTCGATTAGACCTGAGGAAGAAATTTTTCACTCTGAGGGTGGTGAAGTACTGGAACAGGTTGCCCAGAGAAGTTGTAAGTGTCCCATCCTTGGAAGTGTTCAAGGCCAGGTTAAATCGGACCAACCTGATCTAGTGGAAGGTGTCCCTGCCCATGACAGGGGGATTAGAACTAGATGATCTTTAAGGTCCCTTCCAACCCAAACCATTCTATGAATCTGCGATTTAATGTAAACATCATTTTTCAGAAGGGAAGAATTTTCTCAGCAGAAGCTATGGCCTTTTCTCCCAAGGAAAGGACTATTTATTGATAAGTAGAAAGTAAAACTCACCGATGTTCAGTTTAGGTACTGTAAATTGAAAAGACATACCTCTCCTATATGTGGCAAAGAGGAAATAAAATTTAATAATACACTTTTCTGACTTCTAAGGCATGGTGCACTGCAAGGAATTGGTCTCATAGCCCCAAGAAATTATTATTTTTAAAATAATAAGTAAAATGTTGCTTAATGTTTTAGAAGACAGAGACTATACTGCTTCTATCTTCCTAAGTGGTATTCTACTCCGCTCACTTTGCTTCTGGTGAATTTCATCAAATACCAAAAAGTAGATAAAATGGAGTGAGCTGACACTGCATTACTTTCCAACGGGACATTCTAAAAAACATTCTCTTTGCAGATACTCAGTTCCTTCAGGATGGAGAGCGTACATGGGCTTACATACTACTAATGAAAAGAACAATCGTATAGCTGTGAGATCAATCAAGAGGATTGTTGTTCACCCACAGTATGACCAATCTATCTCAGACTATGACATTGCCCTGCTGGAAATGGAGATGCCTGTATTCTTCAGTGAGCTGGTACAGCCCATTTGTTTACCCAGCACCTCTAGAGTATTTGTTTATGGAACTGTCTGCTATGTAACTGGCTGGGGAGCCATAAAAGAAAATAGTATGTTCATTTCCTGGATATACTTCTTGCTAATTTGGCTTACTTTTAAACTCTGACAATGAAACATTTATAGTCGTGAGAAAAAATACCTGTGGTTTACTTAGTAGGTCTATAAAAAGCTAGAAAATGTCCCCTTACCTACAGTCTGTGAATTCTGAATGTTTGCTTGGATGGCAGGTGATAAGTGCTAATATGTGTACTTGAGTGTCACAGACCATTGAAAAACAAATTATCATAGATTTACAAAAATGTGCATCTTTTCACGCTCATGGCTTGTTTTATCTGGCAAATAGGTCATGAGCAGTCTTACAGGTAAAGAAAATAGTGACTTGCAACTATTGCAGAGAAAGAACGTATCTCTAAGACTGTGTTTGACAATATGAGGCCATGAACAGCAATAATTGCAAGAATATTATGCACGTTTTTTGTTTTGTCTCTCTTAAACAAAGGCAATTTAATGTATGCCCCATGAAGAGTTCTGCCTGCATGGCTTGGAGTAGCATGCTGTGGTGGGAAGGCAGGAAAAAAGCAAACGAGTTGGAGAGGGGTGATGAGGGAGCACGTAGGATCTGGGCTCTGTCTCAGCTTTATTCAGGAGCCAGCTTTGAAACCTGGGCTTAGGCAGCTCCTCAGCATGGCAGTGGTCTCCACAATTGCACTGAGACAGAATTCCTCATGTTTGATCAGAAGCCACGTGCTATGGTAACTCTGGCTTTCTTAATATATTTCTTTAAAAAAAGATTTAAATCTAGATAATAACATAATAGCCTAAAGAAGTGCAAATGGCTTTAGAATCGATGCCTTCTTACAATATTTTTCTTTTTAACGAAATTCCATAGGTAATATTTAAAAATCAGTATAATGGTATGTGAAAAAGCTGTCTTTTTCTATATCTTACCTGTTTCATTCCCAAACTACCCTCAGATCCAAATGAGCAAACAGACCAAAACCCAGTACTTACTCTGATCATCCAGATTCCAAAAAGGTTATGTTTACTGTTAAGCCAAAATACGATTGAGAATATTTAGTTCACAGTGACACCTTATGCCAATACCATGGTACAGAATGAAGTTCTTAGCATCACTTGTGACTTACAGGATTGATTTTTTTTTTAATTATTCCTTCCCCCCATCCATCAGCTTCACTCCTCAGGTCCTTCCCTAGAAGTGAGAGAATGGAAAAGAATGTAAAAACTTCATTTACTAGGGCTTGGACAACGTTTGGAGCACAAAAAACAACAAAAAGCTTTGCGAGTAATTTGAAATGGCATTAGAAAACAGTCACATTTTGTGGAATCTTTTATTATAATTTGCATGGCTTTTTTTTTATTATTATTTTCTGGCAGAAGACGCTTATAAGGATAAAGACTAAGGAAATAGAAAGGTGGTGCATAGGGACCTCTATGTCTAGAGGGTAGTGTAGACAACAGCTTTCAAAAGCTGAGGGCAGGCAGCAATTGAAGGGAGGGGAATTACTTTCCTGTCATCAGCTGGGTAGATTTTGAGTTTGGAGCAATTCTCTTTTGTTTTGGCAAGTAATATCTCTGTTAGAAATCTGTACCATCATAACCTCTGCAATTGCATTTGTATTTTTTCTAGGTCGTCTTGCCAAAACACTGCAGGAAGCTCGAGTGAGAATAATTAACCAAAGTGTTTGCAACAAGCTGTATGATGATCTTATCACATCACGTATGCTGTGTGCTGGGAATCTTAATGGTGGTGTTGATGCATGCCAGGTAATCTGGAGCTTGTAGAGAAACTACAAAGGAATACTTGCTTTCATCAGAAAACTGCTCAGAGTTGTGGGTTTTTTGTGTTCTGTTTTTTTTTCTTAGTAATAGAGTGAGATGTCTTGAGTATATGGTTAATTTAACATGGCAATTGAAGACTCTCCAAAATAAGAAGGGAAATTTGACATAGATAATCTCTGAATCTCTTGAGAAACGTTGCTTTGAAAAGATAAGGGGTAGAACGCATTGCAAAAAAAAATTTTTCCTGTTCAACAGTTACGTTTCCTATAAAAGAACAGAGATGTAAGGGTAAAAGGGATAAAGTTAGGGCCATCTGTGATTTTTGCTATTCATATTGGTTTTTTACTTTTTTTGATGACTGTGTGTGGAATTAATAAAATACCGTAACAGTATGATGAGTAATGTATGGTTACAATTACGAAGAAATACAAAAGGCAAAGGTCAGCTAGGTTTGGTAAATGCAGTTGCAATGCTGCCTTTTAATTTCATATGTTCATTCATATGTATAAGTACAAGTTTTGAATACATCAAGGTATCGTAACTCATATGACCTAGTTTATTTGCACACACAATCAGAAACTGGGCTTTGGATATACTTCAACTGTCTTGACTCTGCCTTCCTTCTCCTTCTCAGTTGTTAGACTGGTTATGTACTTTTTCAATATTTAAACTTATTATGATGAATACCTGCTTTCAAAATTAAAAACATGGTCATTATACCCGTTACTGTGTAAAGAAAGAGGAATGTGTTACTGATTTTAGACTGTGGTATTTCATAGAATTTTTCTGTAATATATGAATTTTACTATTTTAACGTAGTAGGATCGTTTTTGCAAGATCTTATCTCTTAATGGGTCAAACTTCTTTATACACAATAGACTATTTGCAGGATCATCCTGCAGTATCTCTAAATCAATGAATTGTTACTTTTGTTAACTTTATGTGCAGCTTGTGTATAACCTTAGACCTCATAATTATATTGCAAAACTTGTTGATTTAGAGGCTTGATGTTCCTCCAAAAACTGTATTTCAAATGGTCTTGAATTTTTAGATAGATATTTTAACCAATCGGGCTATATTCCTTAATGGTCAATCCAGTTTCTGAGATAATACGCTGTGTTTGAGTCCTGGCACACTGGCCCTCTGAGCCTTTAAGTTTTTAATCTGAGTAGCATCTCTGCTATTTCTTTCTTTTCAGTCACTAGTATATTTCCTCTGCAGCACTACAGAGGAATGATGCTGGCAGTTCAGGAAATCTCCGCAGCACCCTGAAACCCTTTACTACAATTCCAGACTTGTGGGCATCCTGGTTAGTTTCATGTCTTCATGGACACATAAGCTGTGCATGTACTGCACAGGTTATGCGAAGCTTCCAAACACCTTTCATTTTTAGGGGATGTGAAATAAAATATTTACTCTTTCAGACTGTTTTCTGATCACTCTAGGATGTTCTTTGGTCTTGGTTCCTTCCACTCCACCATCATAGAGCCCCTTTAGTCTTTCAGAACTGGCTGTGTAATTGGCCAGAGTATATAGCCTGCTTTCTCAAGTCACTTTGGGATCAGCCTTTAGGATTATCAAAATTGCTAGTATTATAGCTGTCCAAGAGAGAGGAAGAACAGTTCTGACGTCTTATCTCTAGATAATTTCGTTTGGTTGGGGGATGAAGGCTCTCTATTGTTACTTTTTTCTTGGTACATGGCTTTCTTCTGACATCTTCCATGTTTTAGCTCCAACTGGGGAGAGCAAACAAACCCCAGGGTCAACTTGGAGGCCACTGACAGCCTTGCATGCGTAAGGTACAGCTGCAGAGATGAGCTGCGTTCGTAACTGCTCGGAGTTGTGTGAACTGCTCTGTTCACAGAAGGTGTACAAGGTTAAAACAATGAAGGGCACAAAGCTTTTGTAAGCCCAAACGCATTTTGGTCCTGTGAACTGAACTAAATGGCAATTTTTATTTTTCTACGTTGCTGTATTGAGCTGCATGTTCCCTTCGAGAAGCCAGTTCTTATTTGCACGTTCCTTAGTTTTTGTTCTTCCTCTCCTTCTGTGAATGTAAACAGAGTCTTGATTATGAAACTGCTGATAATACTTCATTGTGCCTGGTTTGGTTTTGGGGTTATTTTTTGTCGTTGTATTTGTTGAGGGTGTGTGATATCTTTCTGTTCCTACCTAATAGACAGTTCTGCCTTCAACCTGTGAACAATTTATGGTTAAACAGTAGTAGAATTCCCACTTCCCATCCCTATCTTCTCCTCTCCTCACTCAGCGTACGATCAGTTGCTTTATGAATCCCATAATGGGACATTAGGAAGGAGTTATTTTTAAAACTTCTCCTTGCCATTGCTTTATATTGATTTGTGCACTACTTCCATAAGTTAAAAATTGAATAAATTTGACATCTAGCTGGGTACACTTTATCCAGAAATAAGATTCTAATATTAAATTGTAATTCCAGAAAGAGAGGGGTGGGCATTTACTGTCCTTAAATAACCTAACTTTTGTTACAGTGCTCTGTGTGTGTGTGAGTGCGCACATGTACTAATGGCCGAACTCCCTTCGTTTTAGGGAGATTCTGGAGGTCCCCTGGCCTGCACAGGAAAAGGAAATAGGTGGTACCTTGCTGGCATTGTGAGCTGGGGTGAAGGGTGTGCTCGGCGCAATCGTCCTGGTGTATACACTAAGGTGACAGCACTTTATGACTGGATTCGTCAGAACACAAACTGATGCGTCAAGCACATGCAGATCATTTCCTCTGTGAAAGCTGCTTCCTACAGTAGTCTATCATGTCCATCTCTGCTGATATAACATGCAAATGTCATTGACTGTTTCTTTGTGAAAGAATGCACTTTCTTAATGAAAAAGCTATTGTTTGTTGTTCACCTAGCAGTAACTGTTCAGATTCAGAGCAACTTCAGACTCCTTATGGGTTCATCTTCCTTATCCTCAGCAGCAGAAACAGCACTGCCTTAAAAACAACATAAAATGTTTTAGAACCTGTAACAAAAATACAGCCAACTCTTTCTTTTGCTAATCTTTTCCCCTCCTTCCATCTCCCTTGCTGTATATATATCTATATATGTTTCCACATACACATATCTGGATATTCATGACCATATCCCATATATAGTCAACTCATATGTATTACCTTAGTAATGTTACAGGATTCTAAACATAAATAATTATTTCATGTTTCTTGAAAATACAACTAGTATAATAAGTATTGTGTACAAAGCTGAGATTAATTCATTCTCTAGTTCTACTGTCACTACACAACTCTCTCTTTCTGGACTGTAACTTTTGGTCTACCTCCTGTGTTTTCCTAAAAACATCAGATATATAGCTCACTAACATTAGAATGAAAGAAATTTTCATTAAAGAACTGGAAGAGCATAATTTAGGTTCTTTGGGATGATGCTCAAATAAGAGGAAAGAAATCATCAGTTTTAATTAATTAAACAAAAGGAAACTTTGGTACTTTCTTAACATTCTCTTTACAATTTGAACATAGTTGTAGGCTGTTTGCATATGTTACAAGTGTATATCCCCAGCTCTGGCTCTGGCACGCTTTGTGAATTTTGGCATGTTCCTGCTGGGTTTGTGCTGCTTTTCCTGATGTCCTTGGTCTGCAGCAAGCAGAGTTTCAGGGTCAGGATTTTTGCTTTATATCTTTTCCTGGGCTGTATCCACATGACTATGTAACATTGAAATGAACACAAAAGGGATTTATGTGGTTGGATCTGTTCTTGGACTCAAAGAAAGTAGAAGGGGAAACTATAACCATGTTCCTTTAACCCTAGTAGTAAATGTAAGCTCCTCAGGAGATAATAATTATCAAGGGTGTCAGCCCAAATCTATCCAATTTCAGGTTTCCGAAGCTGTTTATGGGACTTAAGAATGCTAGTATTCAGTTGAATAAAAGATCTGTCTAGATGGTCTTAAAATTGCGCCAAATATTTGGAAGTGCTTAGCTTTCACATGTAATGTATTAAAAAGAAAAAGATAATGAGGCTGGCAATTTGAATATCAGTCATTGCTGCTGACACAGCAGTGTCGGGGCAAAGAGTGGAATGAGCTACCACTGCAATTTGCATACAGTGAGGTTCCTGAGTCTAACACTGATACGGCTTTTCCTTCCTTTCTTGCTCTGATGTTGGGCATATCACCTCCAGCCCACCCCCTCCAACACAATGCTTGTGTCAAACTTAATACATAAGCTATAGTCTTTATAGGCTATATCTTTAAAAGCTAGTCAATCAGTCACATATTCCTTTTAATAAATGTGCTAAAAATGCAAGTGGTTATGTTTTATTCGTCTGATTGTGCCTCTGAAACTTTAATCCCCAGGTGCAAGAAGAACTACATTTGTACCTTAGAGTTTCTTTCTTTAGTAAAGTTAAGCCTAACTTGCCCGTTTTAGTAAAGCACATGTTTAATGGCTCAAGTTTCTTTTCCTTGTATTAAAACCAGAGATGTTTTCACTACGGAAGAAAGTTTTCCTGCTGTGCTGTTTTAGATAAGAGCCTAGGCCAGAAAGTTCAGATCGGTTCTCTACTTCCCATTTTCTTTAAAAGTTTCTCAGTTCCATGCATCAGAAGGGCCAGTTACTTCACATGCAAGAGAGGCACCAAGTGTGGAAGCTGGATTGCCCAGACGAAAGAAACTCAAGGCTTTGTAAGAAGCTCTTTCACAAATGTAAGCAACAGGACTTTGGCTTTTGCAGGGTGAGATCTGTAATCATTAACTCATTTGAC